GGACTGGTGACAGGGGGTCACACTACATGATCTTTTACCAGGGGAAACCCCCGAGTTGTACGTCTGATTTCTGCCTCTTTATACCCTCTTCACCCCTTCCTGCGTTCTGATTGGCTGTAGTAGCCTCAGATTCATTGAGATATTTAGTCTGCTAGTAATCTAGTAGGAGGTCTTTGAAGAGTTTGCACAGAGCAAATGGCGACTGGCTTTTGTCAAACTTGGCATAAAACAAATTCTAATCTTAACGTTAAAACCAAACAGTACTTTGATAAAGATGGGACCAACCAAAATCCATCCTGTTGAACTTGTCTTCATTGTCTTCAAGTAGGTTACAAGAACACACAGTACAACATTTAGAATGAATATTAATAGCTGTATTTTTCTTTTCACAGATTCGCTGACTTTGGACATGGACGTAGCTTCACCCATGTGAAGAGATGTCTTTCATTGTTAGGATATGATGATTTCTCTTCCCTCCCTCTGTACACTTGTCCTGCCTGTACAGTTTGTTTCTTGTTTCTGTGTAAACTTTCACACAGTAGGGAATTGGAAGATGTCCTTTTTTTTAGCCTTTGACTGTACACAGTGTCTGGAACTCTTGATCGATACTGACTCACTGACCTTCCATTCAGTACTTCCCCCTCTTCATAGATATCTGGAATTGTATTTTTTTAGAACATTGTACTGTGTGTGTCATTGAATCTTGATGATGGTTATGAAATCATGAGGTTTTTTTTCTTTGAATAAGAAATGTAATGAGAATGATTGTTGTATAAGCTATGACGCTTTAGAAATGTATGTACAAGGATTTATTTTTTATGCATTTTATTGTCTCTTTTACTTTGTTTTGTTGCATGTTTGATCCCTGCCAAATGTAATATGTCACAGTTGTTCCAAAAAACCGTGGTTGCACTTAAAACTGTTTCTGTGTCATTGCAGATTTTACACAAAATTGAATATTTGTTCTATTTCTCACAGCAGTTTGAAGAGTTTTAAATTTGTAACTAAAAGGAAAGACGAGGAGTTCAGAGACTTACTTATTTAGTCATGAGTTTTCTTTCACTGTATTGTATTGTGAGAAAGTGTTTTGTCATTCCCACTCAAATACTTTAATTTGTGATCTTGTGAACTGTACTTGCTTTTGAGATCAGGATTCTTGTAAGTTTTTGTTTGGTTAAATTCACCTGATATGACCAGATATATAAAGTAAATGATTTTGTGGATATTTGAGGATGTTTTTTCAGTTTATCAGAGTGTACACAGTCATAACTTTTCACGCAGTTGAATAAATCCACACCACGATTCTGGGTTACATCAAGAGGTTCTCCAAAATACACTGTAATTATTCATGATTTGACAGATGGCAATAAAACCAAGTTGGACCTGAAAGTCTATGTTTTCCCCTGTTAATAGATGTTTTTTGAATTATTTTTGCTTACTTTAGTTGAGGGGTAAGGATGAAGGATGTCACACCTTGTTAAGCCCTATGAGACAAATTGTGATTTGTGAATATGGCCTATATAAATAAAATTTGATTGATGATTGAAAGTATTCATGCAATCTGGGTGTAATTATTGACAACTATTAACGAAAAAGTCAATGTTTCATCATGAAGTAAATAGATACATTATTGTGAACAATCTATAAGGACCAAAAACTAAACTTGTCAAATGCAGCCAGTGAAAAACATCAAATTAAGCTGAGCTCTGTTTATGCTCCACAGTCATGTGCAGGATGAAGTAAGATTCAATGTGATGGAAAATGAAGTTGAAGTGAAGTGGAAATAAAATAAAGAGCAAAAACTTGTTTATTTTCTTCTTACAATGTGGAGCCAGCTGACATTTAGTAAGAGGTGGGGACACCGTGGAGAAGTCGCCAGCAAATCACAGAGTCAACATACAGAGACACAACCATTCATGCTAATACTCACTGGTCAATTTATGGTCAAATTAACCCAACCTGCATGTCTTTGGACTGTGAGAGGAAACCGGGGTACCCGAAAAAAAACCTGATGCAGACTTGGGGAGAGCATACAAACTACACAAAGAAAGACCCCGGCAGAACCAGGAAGCTTCTTGCTGTGAGACGACAGTGCTACTGAATAACCTCGACTCCCTTCATCCCAATCAATGTTTCAATGTTTAATTTTAAATTACTCAGATTAAATCGAGATTAAACACCCAAATGTAGAAGACTTCTATAAAGTAAATCAGCTTTTAAATCACTTTTCTTGAAAAGCATCAGGATTTACCCACTGAGCCCAGCAATCATGACCTACATAAGTTCATTAT